CACGTCTATATACAATTATAATTACTTTATTTAACTATGATGAGAGAGAATGGACTTATCCATGTGTAACATTCAGAGCATGAAAAAGAACCTTGAAGAGTTCTGACCTCAGAAATACGCCGTGTAGTCGGCTGAAAGGCAACCGCCGTTTCGGAGGAACATGCCGCCTCCATACTCAGGATCAATAAATAAACCAGACAAGAAACCAGCATAAAAGTGACAAATAGGGCTTATTCTTCAGCCCTGAAGATGGAAGCGACATGTTTCTCCGAAACTTCAGTTGATTTTCAACGGACTACACGGCCTTATATCCCCGAAGATAGGTAGAACTCTTCATAACCACAGCTGCGAAAACCTTAAATCTTATATAACGCCCACCTCGTGTCACAATATTTTATATAGATGTTAAAACTATGTGAGTGGTCGCAATATATCGAATGGAGATACATTTATGAACTTATTTTGTGGTAGGGTAGGGGTGGGCTGCAAGCCCAGAAACGGGAATCTAATGTAACAAGAGAGACTGATTGTTTGCTTCGATATTTTGAAGAGGTATTGAAAACTGACGTATGAGTCTCCAGTTGTCAAAAATTGCAGTGTTACAGCCAATCTTTCCTGAACAAGAATTGCTTTTCTGAACACAGTTCATGGAGGTAAATTTTCGGCCCCATCAAATTTATCAACAACTCAAAATCTGACGGATGCATCCTTGTGAAATTTTTGTACATCCCACTGACTGACTGAAAATTTAAGTCCGCCAAAAGACGGGACCCACTGTATACTTCCCTACTGGCATAGATCGGTGATATCCACAAACGTCCTGATTTATCTCTTCTTTCCTTTACAGCACAGTGAAGATAGATTTACGCGGCCGCTGCTACCGTCAGGTTAGGTGTAGTCACTGCTGACTGAAATCTGGCTCGAAACTGAGATTCAGCTCCTCATTTCTTCGTTGCCTTCTTGGAAGGAGAAATTTTGTCGCGTTGCATCGGATGATACGCAACGGAGATACGATACGGGGATACGCAACAAGTCTGGATCAGGCTTAGACTGCGCAACTAATGTGATGGGCAGGCCGAAACACGTAGTACTGTATACAAAGATGGGACAAAAGACATTGAAGTGTGAATGTTAATATAGCGAGGAAGTTGCAGAAAGACGGCAAGGAGGGAGAATACACAGTGCAACAGGATTCTGCAGTATAATAACATAAAATTCTGAGTGACATATCTGCGTCATCAGATAAAGGGTTAATTGCGTAGACTTCTTAACCTGCATGACTGGCACGATAATGTGATGACTGTGGTCAGACATTGCACCTTACCAAAGATTACGAGACTGTATGCACGTCTTGGAGGTAGGCTGATGTACGTTTTAGAACGTACTGGGTTGTCTAGAGCAGGGGTCTTCAAACTTTTCGAACCGCGGGCCACATTAGGTAATTCAGCACTTTCAACGGGCCGGATAAAATTAGAAATGGGATATTAATAACTCTAGGTATATGAGTTTCATTGAAAGCACAGAATTTCATAAACTAAATACAAAGTACGTGAGAATAAATTGTCGTATATTAATGACAACAGACAGTAGCAGCAAATGCTCATATTTTCATCACAAATTATATTAAAACAATTAATGTGAATGATGGAACTCTTTTTGCATTCTTAAAATCTGATTAAATTGAAGTTCAAATTTTGAAACGCTAATCACAAGTAGCGACTTTAAGTGTTCATCGGATAAATTTGCCCTGTATTTCGACTTGATGTACTTCATGTGGGAAAGAGTTTGTTCACACAGATATGTCGTCCCAAAAATGGAGATAAATTTACAAGCAAATTTCTTTAAATTTGGAAATTGCTCAGAGTTCAGAAATTTATAAAATTCGATCAAATTTCCTTCCTTGTATTTGTCTTTAATATGATAATTTTCCTGAAGTTCAATAATTTCCATTTGAATTTGACATGGGACATCTGCAGCATCACAGTCAAATGGATTTTGAAACAATCTAATTTCCTGAGCACTGGAATCCAAATCAGCAAATCGCTTCCGAAATTGTTCTTTCAAATCTGAAATGACTAAATTTGCAAACGAGGAAGGAAATTCTGCTTCACCCTTTTTATGCAACTCTGCACAGTATAGCATATGAACAAAGTTACAATTTTTCACTTGGCTTTCCAGAAGTATCAACTTTGCTCTGAATGCCTTGATAAGTGCAAATAAATCACAGACTAAGTTATTTTCACCCTGCAACTTTAAATTCAAATGGTTCATATGGTTCACCAGATCAGCAAAACTGCTAATTTCCAAAGCCACTTGGTATCTGATAAAAGTGGTTCGTGATGGTCTTTCTCGGTAAGAAATATATCAATTTCATTCCTGAGCTGAAAGAAGCGCGAAATAACCTTTCCACAGCTAAGCCATCGAAATGCAGTATAATATGTCAGGTCAATAAGCTCGGATTCACATTTACCAGTACTCACTGGAAAATTAGTTCAATTGGCGCATTTCTGGACAATTCTTTCGCGGGCCGGATAAAATCACATTGCGGGCCGCATGTGGCCTGCGGGCCGTAGTTTGGAAACCCTTGGTCTAGAGGCACGAAGACAATATCTCAGTTTATGGAAATTACGTGACTTTGGGGGAGGGGGGCGATTCTGAAGGATCATCTGGCCTATGTCGAGCATTGGATAGGAATAGGTTTATTGCTTTGAACACGTAGGCAGTATACTCCTCCGAAACGTCGGTAAACTTTTACCAAACTACACGGATTTACATCCCAGACACACACGGCAAGCTCGAGTATAACCAATTAGGCCTACTTTCTCGTTGAAATCTGAGGCAGGAAATTTAGTGGTGCAAGTGGGCGCTCTCAGCGGGGGAGTGCTCGCTATTCAGCTCAGAATTTATAGTTGTCATTCGTTGAAGTCCTCTGTTCTATTATAAGTTTCCAATCGACGACCAGAAGAAGGGTAACTAAGACTGGTTCTCGCGAAAGGCTCTATTCTAAAGTCAATAAATTGATGATAACAAGTCTGAAATAATATTGACTCCTGTAAATTTCAATAATTCCTGTAAGAGATTAATTCTGAATATCTACTAGCCACAGTATTAGTTAGAAAACTTTTCGAAAAATAAACTGTCGATTGAGGATCTTTTCGCATTCAGACATAATTTAGAAGCCCTGTCCATTTCGCACACTGTTCAGTTGTTAACAAATCAGAACATTCAGCTGGAAGTATCTTCTCCGAGCTCCCGCTTATGTTTCCGGTTTCGTGATGTCACAACTGACGTCACGGGTTACGTCAGTACGAGGCCAGAAACACGAGCGTTAGAGGTAGGAGGGGAAACTTGTGCGGCGTATGACAACTGATTATAGGTATAAAAGTTAAACATTTCACTTCATTGTCACAATGCTATCCATTTAATATAATTCGTACTGTGTTCTTCTCGGTTATGACATTGTGTACTCTGCTAGATGATTCTCATCGTTTCTAAGAGAACATACTACCTTAGATGTTCAGGACAGCGAAGATGGAATAAGTAAAGGTATCCTTGTAACAGCCGTGGAGGCCCATAGGTTTGTGAGAGGTCGAGGCTCCCACAGTTTCTAGACAACCGGCTCACAGATGGCGGTGAGGTTGCCAACCTTACGCGCCGGCCGCCCTTTACCCCCAGGGCCATAGTGCCGCTGGAAGGATTAGGAAAATTGAAAAAATCCACCTCATCGGGATTCGATCCAGCGACCTGCCGGTTTGTAGCATAGTGCCTCAACCAACTACGCTACCGCGTGCCCTGTATATTTCTCCGAAACGCTAGGAATCACCTACCAGTCTACGTAGTGTCATAATCTTCACTGGGGGGAAAACTTTAAATCACAGATATTTATCAAATCCCGCATCATTAAGGGATAAAATCAGGCTTTCTGTTATAACAGAAAACTATTAAACTGAACTTGTAAAAAAAAAGGAACAAAATAGAATAAACTCACTGATCCAATGAAGGGCAACGGACTAGTGAGAAAAATAAGAGACTGGTTGCCAAACGGGAGGAGAAACTTGGTAAGACAAAAAATGAGATGGAAGGATACGGTCAAGCATGAAGAGTGGATAAATGCAAAAATCTTCAAGTTTAACACAGAAAAAAAAATAATAATAGAAGAAGAAAATGAAGGAAACTTTTTCGCTGTCTTAGAGTTCCTTCTTGACAGTCCATCAATAGCAAAAAATCTCTTGGACACACTTCCTAGCTTTCACTAATACTGCAGTAAATATTAATAAAACAAATATAGGCTGCAGTTTAAAGTACCCATTTCAAATAAATATCAGCCGTAACAGTTAGAGAATATTCAAATTCATATTTTTCCCGAGGTTGGTGTGGAGTAAACGACCCACACTCGGATTTCGATAGAACTACCTACAATCCTGGCTGAATTTCCGCGGTTCTGCGAACTTTGGGATGGTGCCTCAAATAAGTCGTAACTGCCTTCTCCATAATCCGCTCTTACCATTCATGATCATGTTCGCATTTCAGTCGGCACTGCATAACATATTCAGTTGAAAGAGTGTCGTTAAATGAGCTAGTAATCATCCGCCCCCCCCCCCCAGTATCAAAATGTTACAGAGGATTCAAGAAGAGCAGAGAGAAACGTGAAGAAGATAGAAAGAGTGTCGGACGTCATTTAATTAAGAATCTTGCAGTGATACTGTGCGTTATGAAATGAGTTTCTTATCTTAGATTTAAGTAAACACTACCTAGAAGCTTGGGAAATGAGGATTAGTGTTTATTGCGCTGTGTTTAAATTTAGCGGTAATAACAATCGTGACATCTAAGGGAGAACTTATGAAGTATATGAAAGACAAGCAGCGCTCAGTTTGTACTCATGTATGAGAGCTGCACTCTATGAACACATGTTAACATAACTCTCGATTAGGTCGATAATGGTAGTCGAAGTGAGCAGCTGTTGAATCTCGAAATGTGTGGAATAGGAATGAAAGGTATACAGTGGGGTGTTTAATGCAGTATAGGGGATTTAATACGTCGTGTGTATAGAATAGTTTACAATTACAACAACTTTAAAAACAGAGCGCCTTCCATTACTGCGGTGCTTCCACTGTACTACGATTGTCATATGTTCTGAAAAGCACTGGGTTGTTTACTAATATGCAGGTTGTATAACTGAAAGGAATTAAATATGCCTCACAGTATGAATTCTGAAATACAATTCGTACTTAATTGGACTTTGTTAATGATCTGAGTGGAGAACCGCACACATCAGCTCTCAGTGTTTCATGGTATGAGAAGTATCAGTGTAATCATTACCATTTTCATCAAGTCCTATCATAACATAACCTAACACTAAAGATGAAATATGCTGAGGATATTGAACCTTTCTTAAAATTCGCAGTCATAAACACCAGAAATATACAGTTCACTGAAAGCTAGCCTCTGCATCTACAATAAATGTTGCCAATATTGCAGTATTAAAATGTTAAATATTGACATTGTTAACTCTGTAAGGCTAACATGCTGGGTTTGTAGATGGGGTAATGGGCCATTTCCTCTCTAAATCTGTAACAGATAGCTCATAGATTCGCAGTTGGTTATAAATTTGTGCAAGTACATTAAGTTTCATTCTGTGTTAACACCATTACCCCTGTACTGGCAGTGTGATTTCTTGTGAATGCAACCGGATTACATTAATTGAAGTGCTCTTATGTAATTTCATTATCTTCTGTTTTGTTGTGTAATTGCAGATTCTTCACGATGAGGTGGAAACTGCTATTACCACTTATTACAAGGTCCCAAATACTGATTTCTACTCACCATGTATCTTCTTTGCCACATCTTCACTGCTCGGATTTCAGCACCCATCCTGCATGTAACTGCTGTGGGCACACCTTGGGTTCCAACCTGAACACAAAATTGGCACTGGTTAACACATCTTCTATCACAGTGTCAGGATGTAATCTTCCTTTACATTTTCCATGCATCTGTACACGTGGATATGCTAAAGGGAAGGCCAGAGGAGGTGACAAGAAGACTGACAAAGGTACATGGCTGCTGATATATCAGTTTTCCCCGAGTTTGGATTTGGAGATAGATGGTTGTGAAACTTTGTCTCCTATTCTGAAGTGTAAATGTAGATTTGAAATAATTAAGAAGAGAGCTAAAGGAAATATTTGCTATTGAGAGAAATGAACAAGGAAAGGAACAGAGGAATTATGCGCTAAACAGAAACTTCATCATATCCTCTTCTCCGATATGGTATTATTTTTGGAATTATGTTCTTATTAAACTTTGTTTAGGAAAGAAGAAAGTTGAAATAAGTGACGAACAACTTGCAGAGGTAATAAAAATTGATGCCATGAGAACCCAAATGCAAAAAGCAGTTGATCGATTGAAGGAAGAATATGTGAAAAATCTTTCTCTTAGATCAACAACAGGTATGTGATCACAGATCAGCATTCATTCATTCATTCATTTGTTGATTTCCTTTATTTTCCATATATCCATACAGGTAAAAAACCTAGAATGTGGAAATAGTCCCTTTGATAAAAGATGTGTCCAGATACATATAATAAATTACATAATTAAAATCACATACATTAGTCAATTAACATAAATAATAAAATTAAAAATGTATTACAATTATAATTAATAAACATAATTTAAAAAGAATATTACTATAAAAACTTAACATTAATACAATTTGATTTAAATTACCTAAATTAACCGAATTAAATGCATTATAAATTTACACACTTATGACCAATTATCTTTCCTTCTTTCTTTCTTTCTTTCTTTCTTTCATTTTCTCATAAATCAAAATACATTAATACAACAAGACTACTGTACAACAATACATTCCATATATCAAAATAACATAAAATCACATACATGATCAAGAGACCACCAAGACTCTTAATATAGTCATATAAAATCTAATTTCTTAATATATAATACACCTATATCACAACAGTAATAGTACCTTTTTCCTGTGTATTTTATTCCATAGTCTGTTGCATCCTAGCAGTAGGCAACGGAGTTTATTTAAATATACATGAGGGATCAATCTTTATTCCAGCAGTAGTAGTCTTCAGCAGTGTACAAGGAATTGGTGATAAGAAACTTCTTTAATGCCACTTTAAATCCAGGGATGTCGTTAGATATTTGTTTAAGCTCTGGAGGGAGGTGGTTATAAAGTTTGATACCAGAATACCATCTACCTTTCTGAAATATTGTTAAGGTTACCACCGGAAGATGCAAGTCATGATTCAATCTGGTATTACGGGTGTGGACATCAGAGTTTGTTATATAGCAATCACTATTCTTGACAACCAGCATAAATAAGGAAAACATATATTGCGATTGAAGTGGCAGTATATGTAACTCCTTAAATAAATTACGAGAATTGGTAATAATTCTTATTATTCTTTTCTGTAGTTGAAATATGATTTTTGCATGAACTCCCCCAGAATATTATACCAAAAGATATTATTTAGTGAACTAGGGAGAAATAAACAGTTTTTAGGTACTTCAAGGATAAAAGAGGTTTTAATACTCTAATTACATAGGATGCCTTATTTAGTTTGGGTATCATTTGGTAAGTATGGGTTTGCCATGACAATTTATGATAAATAACCAAACCTAAAAATTTTGTAACGTTCACATTGGTTTTTTGTTTTTTCCCACATAGTATATGTAAATCAAGAGCTCTTGTGCTTTTAGTTACAAATTGTAGAAAATAAGTTTTTTTAAGATTTAGTAGTAATAAATTACTACTAAGCCATTTATTTAATTTTTCTAAAACTATATTTATATCTTTTTCAAATCTTGGGGTATCAGGATTAGTAATTATTAGACTTGTATTGTCCGCAAACAAGACTGGATTGGATACATCGGATATGGCATTAGGCAAATCATTGACATATAGAAGGAAAAGCAGGGGACCAAGTATGGATCCTTGAGGGACTCCAACAGTAACAGGCTCCCATTTAGAGTAGAATTTAATTAAGTCAGAAATAACTGTTACTCTCTGGTATCTATGTAATAAATAGGATTTAATTACATCATTAGTTCCTCCCTTAATCCCGTAATGTTCCAACTTTGAAAGCAGAATATCATAGTTGACACAATCGAAGGCCTTGTGAAGAACACAGAAAACACCGCCCACAAATTCTTTTTTATTTAAAGCAGTCAGGATATTATTAATAAGACAGTAAGCTGCATCATCTGTCGATCATGCATGTCTAAATCCAAACTGTTCATTAGCAAGAATATTATTGTTCTTGATATGTCGTTGCATCCTATTATAGATTGCTTTTTCAAAGGTCTTAGAAATTGATGTGAGCAGTGAAATAGGTCTGTAGTCAGATGTGTCAGTTTTATCACCTTTTTTTATATATGGGCTTTATTTCAGAAAACTTTAATCTTAGTGGAAAATTGCCAGTTGTTAACATTCTATTACACACATAAGTTAGGGGAGAAGAAATATAGGGACTGCTAACTTTTAAAATTCTAGTGGATATCCCATCATATCCATATGAATTTTTTGTTTTCAAGGATTTTATAATATCTTCTATTTCCTTCAACAATACACATTTTAATGCAATAAGGGGGAAAAGGTTGATTACGTGCCCTAGATAGATAAGATATAGGATTTTCATGGTTAGAAGTGACATTAGCTGAGCAATTATTTTGAACAGCTGATATGAAATATTTATTAAATTCCTCAGCGATTATCTGAGAATCTGAGGATAAATTACCGTTTACCCTTATAGTACTTGTGTTGGGTACATTAGGTTTTATGTTCGAAGTACTCTTTACAGTATTCCACACAGTTGCAATTTTATTATTTGAATGAGTTATGATATTATGTTTTTTTTTTGCAAGTCTGATAACAGAAATTATGTAGGTCGTACCGAAAGCCATGAGCAACTTGTTTTTGCATGCAACCTGGGAACAGCAGATGAAAGAGAGTACAGTGGTAGGTGGAACCAGCTGTTGTGTTAACCTTGAGTGTCCTGTGACATCAATAGCTTGCATCACGTGACCAGTATCACTCTTAACAAA